TTTACCTTGGGGCTCCGGCCCTTTTATTATATGTTTGCTAATGAAATTATGTCGCATGTTCTGTGGGCAAGGTAATCTGCGCACTAAATAAATTGAGTCCATAAAGAGTCATTTTGGTAGGCAATTTGGACACTAATAAGAAAATTGCGTCATATTTCTTTTGCTAATAAAAGCTGGAAAATAAAAGAATATTTTTCTAAAAGAATCCATGGATTTACGTTGTCACAGGTATATACCATTAAAATTAAGTAAATGGAAAGTTTAATTTACGAGTTTTTATTTAGTGAAAATATGATATTTTAATTTACTATTGTTGTTAACAGGTTTCGTTGATAATTTTCAATGATCAGACACCTTTACACCTTTCCAGTTCTATTGATTTGTAACTTAAATTAATAACGAGTGAATATTAGCAACGCAAAACTACAGATGCGCATAAAAAAAGAAAACATCCCCGGCATTTGTGATTCTGTTTGTTGCTAACAACACAAATTAGTTTCACACTCTTTGTCTTTTCCATATACGGTGTTCCGTCTACCTCCCTACCTACCAAACTACGTTGAAATTTTAATTAAACTCCATACTTCCAGTACAGTTGCATTCCGGTGCTTTGCTAGAAGAGGTTATTTTTTAATTAGTTTTAAAACCTCTAAAATTTTAATTCCGAAGTCATAAAACCATAGGAGATTAGTGCTTATACGTACCTGTATGTAAGCACATGCCGCAACTTTAAGTACTATTTTTTCAAGCAGAAAAACGATAAGGTACCCTCCGTTTAATTTTATGTGCAAATAGAAGATTAACGAAAAGTTTTCTTTGAATTACCAGGTGTAGAACTACGTACAACAGATACTTCCGATATACGTAGAAAAGTAAATTTTTATGACAAAGCAAAAATTACAATTTTGGGTTGTAAATGACTGAATTTGCCGCAAAGATCATAGAATTTATTAGGTAACTTGTAATAATCTCAATTTTTTCTTTAAAAATTATTACAATTACATTTGTAATATTAACTAAAATACCTATTAAATTTATTTCTACTGGGATTTCATTTTTACAAATTCAGGTCCAAATTGTAATTTTTATTATTTTCGCTTACGAAGCAATGGGATAGTGGGATAAATTGTAAATATCGCTTTAAAACTCAGGTAAATTTTCGTTTTTCATTTTCTATGTGTAGCCGAACTTATTTTGTAACCGATGTGCCTATTTATTTAAGCACAATATTTTATAATTTAATGTATTGAAAAAGATTTGCAAAATTTAAAACGACATGAGTAACTTATAGATAAACCAGCAGTAAAAATTCATAGAGAACTTGCTAAAAAATAAAAAGAAAACATCCCAAGGTTAAAAGCGTAAGGGTTTTCGTCGTTTATAATGTATATCCCTCTGCGACGATCGTTCTTCAAGGAAGCAAAACGCGACGACTAACCTGATATAAAATTAAAATAAATAAGGCCGTTATTGTCAACGATTTATGATAAAAACGCCAAGTAGAAGGCAATTTGGCCGCTAAAGCTTACATTTTAAAATGAAATCGGGCTTGTTATCCACTACAACCGCATTTTATTTTCAGGTTAATAGAAACCGCACCACATTCCTAAGCTTTAGAAGCTTTCGTTGGGATCTTTTGTTGAAATTTATGGCGTGGTATTTCTGAGGAGCTCAGTTCTGTGTTTCGATTATTTTAATAAGGGCTTATTCTTTCTTCCGCTAGATACCGAAGACGAAAGCTCGGTTATCCGCAACTACAGCATAAATTGTAGCACTGTTCATAAATTTGTCTTTGAAAATACGACTTCACTTTAATGAAATTACACACACGAGTTTTTGATCGGCATTCTGTAGAAACTGTTGTACGTGGACCGCGACTGTTAGTTCTCATCAGCACGACCACCGAAAGCTTGCTGTTGTTGGTTAAGAGCGCCCACAGTTTAGTTATAAATCTCTAGAGATGGCGTTTGTAAAATATAACACTTCCATCAAGAATTAATTTACTAAGAGCCAATTTTAAGGAAATTTACTACTGATTTTGTGTAAAACGTTAAGGCCTGACACTTTTTTGTCGAACTACATGGTCGTGTGCTTGTACAATTCATCATCGCCGCCTTCCGCTTGCTACTGATGTTAGTGTATTACTACAACAGATTTAAATTTATGCGTGCATAAATAGGGGTTAACGAGGGTGAACATGGTCCAATTGTTCGCAAACCAGGGGTCACTACGTATATATATATATATTCCATTCGGTCATTTCGCCTTTGTGTAATTTCCTAGCCAACATCGACAAATACAAACAAGTTGTTTCCTCTCGGCATGAGTCAGTCCTCGCTTAAATTAACTGGAATTGCATGTAGCGGTTTTCAACTTCGTTGTAATGTATGACCCTCTGTAAATAGTAGTCTCTGTCCGCCACGTTTTATTGTCGCATAATTTCACGACTCGTATATGACATGAAATACACAATTTCCAAATTTCATTACCTTTTTTAACGATTGTTTTACGGACGGACGGAACGTAAACATTAAGTTAATACCTTTTCGGTTTCTGCTATAATTAAAGTAAATAGAAGGTAAATGTGCACATTTCACTACATTTTTTCTCAAGTTATTTACTATTAATGTTAAATGAATGCCACTTGTGTGACAGTAGACCAAAGCATGTTATTAAACAATGACCTACATCTGATTAATTTTCTATAGGGGAATAAACCCGGGGTGGGGGAAGTTCTGTCTGTCCACCGTACCACATTTTCTTATGATATATAATTAAACCTATCGAAAGACTCGGAATACATTGCCTAAGGGCGGCTTATGTTTATGGCTTCAGTCGTCATAAAATACACTAGTTGTTTTTAAAATCAATAATTCTTCTCTAATTAAACTAGTTGCGTCTTCATTACAAAATAGCTTTTGTAGCTGACAACTTCATAAAACAAGTTCAAACATTTTGCCATAGATACATTTATAATAAAGCTTACCATGTCATATGTAGGTACTTCACTAACAGTCCAATTTCTAAAGTTTCAAATAGAGATTGAACATATCCAGCGCTCAAACATGGTTATCAAAATTTAATAACAGACTGAAAATTCAATTCTATGCAATTTAAACTTTCAATTGGCTGATACTAAAAGTTTTAGATTTTCGATGGTTTATCCAGACACAGAATATCTTTGACAGCTATATTTTCCAGCTTTATATATCATCGTTCAGTTTAACAAGTGAGTTAGTTTATATTTCAAAATTTTGTAGATTAAGTGAAGCCATACTTACACATCTTTTCTTATATTTGTTTTTCCAGCTATTACGTATTAAAAATGCTTCAGACGGAAAAGCACAATTACTGACTTAATGACGGATTTCTTAGAAAATTCGTTTTATTACTTTATATTTAGAATTTTGTTTTGTTACAGAATATTAGAAACTGTAAGGTTCGGCATTTATTATTTATTCAATTCAATTCCATTGCGCCGTTTCACTTTAACAAAACGTACATAATATATGGCAGTAAGGTCTGCCCGACGTAATAAAATTGAATAATAGATAAAATAGAATTGTCAATGGAGCAACTTGCTAAAAAGCGATGCTCCATAATTTCATTAGAAATTCCGAACGTAGTGCTCGTGGTCACATGGAATTTTACTCTAACAGGATCTAGCAATTGACGGGTATGATACTCTATGTTCGTTTGCATGTGTGTATGTGTAAGAAATAGAATCCTGGAACATTGCATACAAACAACTTGGCACAATCGTTGTGCTGAATGTGCTTTATTCGCTGCTGACATCAGCGTACGAATGTACTCCTAAAAAGCAAACAATTTTGTTCCGACGATGTCAGCTTAACCATCTCCTTAGTGCAACTGCTTTCGGTAGATAATGTGCTGACTTGACCTTTAACATTACCTGCACTTCGTGATCGCCCACTTGAAAAGTTAGTATTTTTACTGTAGAAGGAACAATAAAATACTTCAAATAATGAATAGAATATTCACATCCGTCACGTCAATATTTTCACTGGCAGAATTTGACAAGAAAATCCAATGTAGCAGGAAGGAATATTAAAGAGTAGGTGTATGTATATGAAATGGTAGACAGTGGCTGCTGCATACCTGATTTTTGAAATTAAAATTGCATTTCAAGTTAGCGTGACAGGTACAATATACAAATACAGCAGAAATTTCGACGTGTGACGGTCTGACACGAAATTTATCATGCAATATTTGCCGTAAAGGAATTAGAAACATATTTGCAGTTTCTACTTCACACGTCTCTGAAAACAATTTTATTTGCCAAAAACAGAGATTCATTTATTAACAAAAATCAGTTTCTTACTTGTAGACATAACACGTGCCAAATATGTATAACTTACGTTCAATTTCTGGTGTAATCCTTTACAAACAGTAATTGGCATCCTGCAAGTAGATGTGAATAATGCAGCAGAGACAGTGGTTAGTTAGCATGTCAATAACAGCCGCAAGTAACAATTACTATAAATTAATGAGAAGCTGTTCAAAAAGGATTTGTCTCTCCTCTTTTGTAGGTGTAAATTGATTCAACATTCAATACATGCGGTCATTACTTAATCAAAAAAATACAGTAAGTAATCCTAATTATTCTGTCGACACCACCTACAATCTACCTATGTCTGAATAATGCGCACCGTAACTAATAATTAAATGTAATTCCTTTACGAAGTTCTTGCAAGATCTTTACGTTTTTGGAGGAGAGTTTATGCGTAATGTATTTCAATTATGTATGTTGCAATCATCGTAATCTATGCAAATATGTACTTACTTGCAATTAAATAGAAATGACAAGTACAAACGTTGCATTGTTTTGAGACAGGACACTTTTAAGCAAGGACATTCAGGATTATAAAAATATAAAATGCTTTTTTAGTAAGAATGTAATTTCTTCTCAAAGGAAGATATGAATTACAGAAGCACTTGTTACTAAACATAATATCTAACAATTAATTTTTTGTTTACAGATCAACGCTAAGTTGAAGGACCATTTGGATAAAGTGAGTAACAATTTTATTTACTAAGTTACAACAATTTTACTGGACAGTTATAAAAATTGAATAAATAAGGTTTTCCCTTTTCCTTACGTTTTGATCGATTATTAATTAGATATTTTCTACACAAATATACTTGTGTTTTTCATCGTCAAACTCAGACTATATATATGGTTGATAGATTACAACATAAAACAGATAAAATGATAACGAAAACCCTCGTTTATAAAACAATAACAATTTTAAATACGAACGGGCTGCATTATCAAACATTTATTGCTACAAACTATTCTCTAGGCGGTAATTTTAAATACTTTTCTAGACACATTTGTCCATAATATGATTTAACCGTTGTTAAATTGTTACATTATGTCAAAAAATTGCATTTTCCTCATTTCAGTACTTAGTTACAAATCGTCTAAAGTTACATCCACTCGACCACGGTGAATCCTAAAAGCTTTCAGGACAAAGAAGCCGTAGTTTTCTTTCATTTTACCTAAAAAATGATATCTAACTACAATTTTGCAGATTTAGCCATTCATTTTCACTTAAAGTAACATATCTTCATCAAGGTTAGAATGTTTTTAAAAACTGAGTATTCATTTTATCTTCAATAAAACATTTACGTAGGAACATACAAGAACATAATAAAATTGTACCTACGATCCAAAGCTAACAATTGTTCGGATCTATTCAATTCCCTCGGTGATGCAAAAGTAATACAATCAACTACACATGAGGAGATATGCTTTAGTGAATTGAATCTTCCAGTTAAATTGAGCAAAGCACTGACTGATGCGTTTCTATGTGATTTAATTTCAGTTGTCGAGTTACAAACTTAGAGACAGAGACAATAAAGCTATTTTGTGTTTCTGGCAGTTATTAAGTTCTACTGCCACTCCTAACTTTCAAGTGTATCTCAGTTTCAAACTTCCACAGAAACCGTTACTGTTTTATTATTGCCGTCAATAGATTACCGGAAACAAAATTCCAAATGATATCTATAGAATCAAATTTCCAAAAACAGATGAATGAATGAATGAAGATGCCTGCTGAAAATAGATTTCTGTTTGCGAATACAGATTCAAATACGACCACGCTACAAACAGTTTTAATGATGGAAACTTTACAATAATTATTTCGCCATGCCGATACTGTGGAAGAAGAAATAAAGAGCTGGGAAATCCTAAGAAAAAAATCGGTTGTCTATAAAGTCGGTTTACTGACGATAATTGAACGTGACAACGTCATAAGAAAATACTGATGGAATGGTTTCATTTTTCAAAAGAAAATTTTAATTTTATTTGTTTGATAGATATTTTGTATGGATATAGAGAAGGAGGTAAATGGAAATGTATTATTGTATAGCAGCTGTCCACGCGGACGCATCGCTCACTCAAGTAGGAGAGAGACAGATGTCGAACGCTGCCGAACGCGGAGGCCGATTGTGCCTCTTTGTCGCTCGTTCCGCGCTCTCGCTTGCACTTCAAGCCTTAAATGGAACGCCTCAGAGCGAGGTAACGCCGCATGAGTCATGTTTTTTCGTGCGTGCAGCCGTCTCCATCGAATTATAAGACGATGTCACGTCAAAAAATATGTATTATCAAAAGTCAGTCAAAAATAATAAAAGTTATTTTAGTCAGATAAACTATTTTTTGGTTTCCTTATTAAGGTGACATTATTATTTCAAATAATAATTATGATGATGATGATTAATTACAACAATTTTGAATCAAACCTTCTACAACCATAAATAACAAATATTTTTTTAGTTTCTCATCAGAACATACCTACTTTACGTGCAAGGTCGACACATTATTTGCGATCAAAAATTTCATTGCATCACTTTCGTGTAACAATTGATGATGGCAATGCAATTCAACGATTTAGCAACAAAAGGTCACTTGATGGGTGTATCGCCTGTTCTTCTCAGCCTACTATCATTGATCGTGCAAAGAATGCGTACAACCACATATTTAGCAACAATTATTTATAAGATATAATGAAAACGCTAGGTTACAATTAACATTTTCTCTGTTGTGTAACTCCTGTCCTTTGCAACAAAAGAATTTATCATAACGTTACAATTATAACTCGGGTCTTCTAATAAGACATGTCAGATTTAGAACGAACTTTTTCGAACTGTATTCTAGGCATTTTGGAGCATTTATAAGAAACATGACTTTTGAAAAGTTTTACTTCTTAATTGCACAAAATGTGCTTAGCATTTTCTGCCGTTTGTAGATAAATAAATTTCTAAGTACTTTCAAGTATCTGGTTAAATACGTTTCAATATGGGTAGTTAGAGATGGTCGCAAAAATATATTTCGTATTAGCTATCTTATAAATACAAATCTCCGACATTAGTGAAAAAAATAATTCTGCAGTCCGTTTAGTTAGAATAGGTAGTAGTTACGACATCTTTTTCTAAAAATAGACTTTTACTTAACTAATAATAATTAATGAGTTAGGTACTTAGCTCATGGCGTGTATAACAGAATATCCTCAAGGTTTTTGTTTAAACGTCTATGAATTCAAACAGTATAAGATAAATATAATTATAATGTGTATAATACGAAACAGCCCAACATAATCCTGTTCTGGCAGGCACGTTAATTTTGTAAGGATGAATTCGTTCGTTAGTTAGTTGGCAGAAGAATAATAATAATGCAATCTTGGATTACGGTGACGAATAGTGGAAGCCCATAGCAGAGAGAAAAGGCTTTTTCTTTTTGAGACTGCTCCTGCAGGCAACAGATAACGACCTTAGCGAAGAACCTTTTATTTTCGCGCATAAGGCAGAATGAGGATGAAATTAAAGTCAACTAATTAACTTGCCCTCCGTTTTATGCAGTGCAGAAGTAAACGTTTGCGCAAATGGGCAAACATACAAACACCGAGCGAATTAAGTAAGTAAAGGCTAATTGATTCACTCGAAAAGTAAACATGTTTGCAAGAACGGCCGGATGTTAAGCTCTAACTTAAAGAGTTTATTTTGAAACAGCTTCCTTGCGAATTCGCTAAACGAAGTCCTCAATGGTCGGAAAATTATTTTGTCTTCGTTACCACTGCTACCGTAAAATAAACTTAATTGGCTGTTAAATTTCTTCGAGTCCCTTCCTTTGAGGCAACCATTTTGTTAAATATCTTACTAGATGTAATATATCGATAGGAGAATTAGATTTCTTAATTTTAATACAATTTCTTTAAAAGTTTCCTTTCTCGACATTCTATTACAAACAATATTACAGGAAGCTAGGATAATACTTTCAGTAAACATATAATTTCGATGATATCGTTAGATACTAAACAATCCGTTCTTTCGTGTGCGAATCAATTCGATCTTTTTATATTGAAAATCTACGATTTCTTACTAATTAAGAATCTAAAGTAAAATAGAGCATAGAAATGTAAAAGTTGATCAGATTTTTATCATCGATAACGAATAAGTGGTGTTCGCCCTGCAGTTCTAAACAGTTCAAATTTCAGAGCTTTCACAATATTGTATTGTAACATACCTACAATACTAAAAGTGTTAGATATAAACGTATATTGTATTTGTGTGATATAACCGACCTGAGTAGTAGACATAGTTAATCGCTATAATTATATTTGAAAGTATCTATATGTGAACTCACGATTTGCATCTATTTCACAGGGCGTGGAATCCTTTGATACTAAGATCTCGCGTTCAAATTAGTCCTAGCGCACCTTACATCATACATCCTTTATTGAGTTTACTTCAGGCATTCATGTTAGATGCGGGCAAATTTCAATAAATGATGATGCTATAATATCGTCTCTGACTTAATATAGATAAACAAGCCACGAAACTTAATTATAACATCAGTAATGTGTGCTATGCAAAGGTTTACATTGCGACTGCATAAGTAATCGAATCACAACAACAGATGAAAGGTCATTTCTAAGCATCTCATCATAGTATGACTCATCTTATCTAACGGTTTTATTTTTTTCTGTCATTCAACATTCTACGTAGGCGTTACATTTATGCCAACGGCCCATGATTAACAACTATAGTCTTTTGTTAATAATTGACCCCACAAGTTCCAACAAGCCGTAGCTTTTATTAGAGAGCTTTTGTATCAATTTAGACATTAGTTTTGTTTGATATATGAAATTATTGAACTCTATGATTGTGGCCAATTTTCAATAAATATTCGATATATTTATTTCACACTACAATACACAAAATTATACAATACTCAATATAACACTTCATACATACCATTGTCTCCAAATAATACGAATTATAAACAAATGCAAGAAAAGGACTGATAAGGACCGATCTTTAACCATTGCTATATCAAAAAAATAGTGTTAAGTTTAACAAATTGCATATTTTAAGGAAGTGAATATGAAATCAGTATTTTAATAAATAGCTGGTCCTAATTTTCGTTATAATCGTGCATTTAACAAATGACCAAAGATAATATTGGTATATTGGAGTATAATGGTGGTGCAAATGGGGTCTATAGACCGCATCTGAATCTGATCGGCGAGAAGATGAAATTATTGATACACAAAATTGATGCGCGCCTGCTTTTCCACCCAACGTATTAGGAACATTATTGACAAGATAATAAGCCCACTAATGAAGATTTAATGGCTTCGGTAATAACTGGCAACGTATAGGCATGTACGTAGGTCTCGCGGGCTTCCTCCGCTGTCCCTAATTATACTTACATTTAATCAGGCAAAGTACGTAATAATAACTTGTGGACCTAGTATTCATTGAACAAATATTGTACTTATTAGTTGTCAAAGCGAATTATCTCCCAATTGACATCAGGTTAATACCGAAACAGTAAGTTGTCCAATTATTTTGATATTCTAATATATATATGCTATTATGCTATTAATTCCTGGAAAAACATATGTGTTATATAGGCACTTTGAAACTCTTTGCTTATAGAAAATACCACAAATGGAGCGGTAAACGCCATCTGTAGTACGATACTACATTTTAGGATTACGTATGCTCC